TGTTTCCTCTCAGAACAAGGTCCAGCACAAGTGTCTGAATTCGTATTTTTCTCCACTTCAGGCACTTTACTTGTTTTAACTTGTTCATTGAAATTACTTATTGTTGAAATGGTTTTACTAAACCTTACTAAGATTCATGCTAAAACCAAAGTTGAACTACGACATATCGATCGCATTTGAATTTGATAATTGAAAGATGTAACAAGGGTTGCTTGGAGGTAACCATTGAAAAATTTGCCGGTCGATGCAAACATTTTATGACGAGATTTTATTCAGGGTACTTGGCCTTCATTTATAACCAACAAACAGATCACATCACTACATACCCGCATTATTCCTTTGGTCGTTGTTTTTAAAGAGCTAATTAGAAACTTGATGAAAATGACTGTAAATCATATTAATTGGAAATATTGGAAGAAATGAATGTCTTGGGAAAGAAGGAACTTTGGCGAGAAGGGAAAACATGGGAAATGACTGTTTGGAAACTGGAATTCTAACCTGGCTGTTTCTCTTCGTCAATGGTTACGAAGATGATATTTGTTGGAAACTCTAGCGCTGCAAGTGAAAAAGAAAATTATAATTATCCTCTCAAAAACTTCCTGGGTGTGGCTTTAGTGTTATCTGATATCTCTAAAGAAATTCAAATTATAGTAGTGGTTTATTTGACTAAGACAACAGTTTCGAAAGCAAAATGAAGACACACAGAGTGTTATTCTGAGAGGTAAAGCAAAGACGAAGATCGCAAGGTAAACCAGCCGAAAACCTCAAGGACAGCCAGTTACGGTTGCCAGTCGTGGTGAGTTTTCGGAGTTAATCGTGAGCAGTACAAGAAATTGTCGCTACCAGCAACCAAGAGATATTCTCTATTTCTTGATAAATGTTCTAGATAAACCATTATACTCTTCTGCAACCGATGCTCTCAATCAGCTCGGCTGGTTAAATTTAAAACAACGCAGGCTCTTCCATCGCTGCTTGTATGTTTATAAATGCGTGAATGGAATTACATCTCACAAATTGGAATTATCTAGAAACAGCAATGTACATAGATACAACACTCGTTGCAAAGATCATCTTAGACTTCCATCAGTCAAACAGAACTGGGGTAAACAAAGAACCTGTTATCATGCCTTTAAAGACTGGAATGCCTTGGACAGTGACTCGAAGAACTCTGGCACTATATGTCAGTTTAGGAATAATTTTTTAAAATCTTTTAATCTATAGCTTACTTTTCTACTTTTTTAATATCTGCAATTTTTATTTACTTTTAATAATTTAATGTTATTTTGGATTGGACCTCTCTGTAGATCACCTACGGGTGAGAGAGCTTCCTGTTTTAAATATCATCATTAATAATTCTCTTGCAGCAACTGAATGAACTTATCCGAACTTATAACAGATTGTTTTTTGCACCTTGGCCTTTATCCCTGAAAGATATCTTGAGAGCCGAAGCAGTGGTGTCTTTTCGCGACACAGCTGCCTGAAAACCATCGCCGTCCGTCAAAATGAGAAAAACTAATACAAGAGTCGATCCATACATGGATGAGAGGACTGGAGACTAGTCAGCTATTTCAGCATTGATCATGACCATTACAATTTCCTCAAATGTAATTGGTGCATTAGCTGCTTCATTTTTCGCTGATCATTCTGTACAGTTGTAAGCGTACAGGGAATTCTGACAGTTGGCAGAAATCGGACAGTTTAAGTAGCCAATCATAGCTAGTCCACTCCGCTTAATCCACCAATCACAGAATTGATCACAATAACCAGGGGAATTTTCAAAGTGAAGGAATTTTTTACTTTAGACATTGTCACTACCGGAGATGTTTGTCCCTAAATGTATTTGTTTTTTTCAGAATTGTAACGGTGATGGTTAATTGGTAACAGAATTTCGTGCTATTCAATTCTGTCTGTAATCATACTCGTTATTGACAAATAGGACTTCCGCCTCGCAATCGTCCGATTGTGTTAATCACTCGTATTTTTTGAGACCAAATTGGACTTCTCTTGGTCCCATTACCCTTATTTCTACTTCACCACGTTTTTGTATTACAGCTTCCTTGACGCATTAAGCCTTCCACTGGTGATGAACACGTGACTACTCTCTATAATATCCATACGTTATTCAGTAAACAGGTAATGAGAATACCCGGACTTATCGCGTAAAAGTAATTGCCTTGATCTAACATCTAATTCTCGTAACTAATTTACAAGGAAATATATAGTAACTAGATGGGAGAATTAAAAATCAGATCTTGGGGATAAAAGGATTGATGTACCACAATGGAGTATCAGTTTTATCTCCTTCGTACTCTCGTCATTACTTGAGCGGTTAAAACTCGTCAGTCTGTCACGCTCAAACCATTTCTTATCACGATAGCGTACTTCTAAAAATTGGTGAAATGTTATTTTTCAATAAATTCGCAAAATTTTCTTAGTTGACTTTATTGAATATAAAATCGCTCAATCGCTCTGACGAAGGGCTAACGTTCGAAACGTCAGCTATTTTACCCTTTACGGTGGCCAATTTACGTTTTCAACTCAGTACTCAGTTGTATACTCTCCCACCGACGCAGCACTACAGTTTCTTTAGAAACTTACCCCCTTTATTGAATATAAAAACGATTAAACTATACGAGGTTCTTTTCTCAAGTTCTTTCATATAGGAGAAGAAGAGCGGATTTATACATTTGATTGATTCATCGGTTGGATTCGAGTGAAGGCCGATTTGACGCAAAATTTGCATTTGCGAACTTGCAAGGTATCCCAAAACATTTTAACGACGCCGTTCAGCCTTTGCAGCAATATCGTAACATCTCGGCTATTTGAATTTCAAGAAGAGAAGTGATTCGTCAAGCAGAACTGTAAACTTTTTATAGGCAATATTCGTGAGGAAATTTAACATTTCAAAAGAAAAAACCCATAAATGAAACTTCGTTACTCGACTGGAAGTACCACAAACAAAAATAAAAACTTATTTTGGCGTCTGATAATCAGAAAAAAATAGAACAATTTTCAGCAAGGTTTGATTTGCTAAAATTTTAATTTTTTCTCAAACATGGGCGTGATAAATATTTGATGATTTCATCGACATAACACAACAAAGAATATAATGAAAATTGGGTTGAAGAAGAACGTCAGTATCTTCCCTTTTGTGATCTCAGCGCGAGAAATAATATCCGTATCTTTCTTTAAAGAACGTTGTCCACCCCTGTACTCGAAAGATTATCGAGGTTTTTAGACAACCCTTTTTTACCCGAATAATAGTGATCTTTGACACTCTAAATTTTGTGCAGGAAAGACGTCAACGGTATAAGACATTTAACTGGAAATGACTAGCATAAGTTCAAAATTTCTACAAGAAATGAATTGAACGCGTTTCCGAAGAAAGTTCTTTTTTATAGTGACTCTGTCAAAAAAATCTCAAAAATAACTTTTAGGGAATTTTCGGAGATGTTTTCATTGAATGAATTCTAATCTATGCTGAGAAAAAAAAAACAAGAAAAACACAACACGCACTTATGCAAAATTTTGGTTTTTATACATTCTCATCCTAAAAGTTATCTGAGAAAGGTCGCTACCCATGATGAAACGAAATCTGATCGAACTTGGCAATTTTCCTCATAATAGTTTCACTCTAAATGCTTGTTAACCTGAATACCACTGAAAACCCAAGACAACAAGTTTATTTAAAAAAAGAAAAATTTCAAACTATTCGAAAGCTGAATATACTTACCTTGGCAATAGTGGAAAGGCAAAAAAATCAGTGAAATCAGCAGAAATGTCAGAAATGTTTCCATTCGTGTGAATCCTTCCCTCTCCGTTATAAGATCCTCCTTTCGGTAAACATTCTTTGTTTTCGTTTTCTTTTTTTGTTCAGAAACACCGTACCTTGATCCCCAGTCTAGAACTTATTCACAAGGTTTCCTTTTTTTCTAATCTCAAGAACGCAATAGAAAAAGCTCTGAAGTTTAATTTGCATCGAAACAAGATATATTTACTCAAATAGAACTTTATGCCATTTATGCATATGTGTTAGATTAATTATTAAAAGAGAAATTATGTCCCGTCCAAAAGCTCAAAGTCAGTCTTTTTCAATTCAGCGAAAAACAAAGGACTGCAGGGGTCTATCATACATCAAAAGTTTACATTCGACCGCGATTAGCCTAAAAGCAGTTCTAGAGTCAAATACCACAGCTAAATTTGAGGAACATCCGGTGAGAACCATATGTGATATGCCCTAATTTTCAAGACTCTTGTTCAAAATGATGGAACTTTTTTAAAAATTGTTTGTTTTCTATTCAAAATAAGAGATAAACTTTTTTTGTTTATAAAGGTTCGCGAAGAGCATTGAAAAGTCAACATTCCTCTCAGTAAATTTGTTTTAATGGCATCTGTAAGCGTTTTTCCCGCACGCTTCAAAATTATCTTGAAGAGTAACTCAACATAACAATACACAACAATTCTGCTGATGGTTAGGGACATAAATAATTTATCAAACCGAATGTAAGTATTTCAAGTTGCTCTGACGTAAGATTATGAGATGAATACACAATAGAGAATGGCACTGACCTTTCATTGCTCAATCTCACGTAGGGCAACTTGAAATACTTTCATAACATAACAACATAATCTGTTCTTCTAAGAACAAAAATCCTCCTCAATTTTGGCACAGGTAATGTGCGATGACGATTATCAGGGAATATCTTGGGTCCAAAGAGAGATTTTTTTTTCTCTCTTTCTTTTCCATTAAACGGTATTTTCAGCGGTTACTTTTGGAGAACAATTTTATCTAAAAACGAAAAAATGACCTCGTATGCCCTATGGCAAGATTCTCGTCGGCATGCTAGTCTTTGAAGGAGCGTAAAGTGCTACATAACCTTACATGTAATTGTCAAATTTCATTTCATGCTGACTCATAATCGACTGTAATTATTACGCATGCATTGCGGGCCTCCTACTTTCTTGTACCCAGTTCCCGAAACTTCAAACGCCGAAGAAAAAATTCAAAATGTCGGCCGAAGGAAGCTAAATACTTATCAATGTCCGATTTTCTCGAAGAAAAGTCTGCAATGCCCCTGCATATTTCTCCTGTGGATGCTCCTCGAGAAGGAGAGAATTCAGATTCAGAAGAGGACGAGTCAGTGGTACCAGCAATCATGGAAACCTCCAGTAGTGACGACGAAGACAACTTAGACGGTGAGGATGATCTTAATCAAGGCTATATTCAACTAGCTCAGGATGAAAACGACGGGCTACAACCTGCAGAACAATGGCTAGCTAACGTATGTACACATTGAATTTGCTAATGAAACTTTCCTTGTCTTGATTTTTCCTGGAGCAAACAGCTTGCAATTCGGAAAAGCTTAATAGGCAGACTCTTGTATGTCACGTCACTTGGAAATTTCTCGGAGATTTTGCAGATTGACTCTTAATTTCATTTACGAAGTTTCCTAATTTTCCTTTGCCTTTTGACCCAAGTTACCAACAACCAGGTTTACTGAAACAAAGGAAACTGAGAATCAACCAAGGAAAGGGAATTCAAGATACTGCAATTTAGTTTTAACATGTTTTGATCATTAAAGCTTTTATTTTTGTTCATAAATGGTGCATGTCGAGTCCCCAGTACAGTAAACTTTAGGTACACATTATTGTTTTTGGTGTATGCTTTCAAGGGCCTATACCAGGCATTTTGATTTTAGCTAGAGTAGCCTAATGTTCCAGCAACTCTATTGTAAAACACAATTGAGAGACTAGTTGGTGAAAGGGATTGTGTAAAAATTTGCTTATGTGTCTTTCCTTTAGATGTCCCCTGGGAAGCTATTTTGTTAGCCTAATGTAGTAGCCTAATGTTCCAGCAACTCTGTTGTAAGACACAAATAAGAGACTAGTTGGTGAAAGGGAAGTTATTTTGTTACAGCTCAATAACCTACTTCAAACAAACAGAAAACAAATAAAAATATTAACTTTCAACCTCAGACAGGGGAGGAGGAGGCTATAGATGTAAACAATGCAGTAATTATTAATTCAAGTGAAAGCAGTACCTCATCATCGTCATCATCATCATCATCATTATCATCATCATCTGCTGACAGAAGTGCTGAGCCAGAAATGAAACAAGGCAAGCAGGAAGACCAATTGTAATTGTAGATTAGGGATTATGATGAATTTGATGGGTGGGGAATGTGAGGAGCTAGTGTCAATGTGAACAACTAGTGTCGAGTCTTTCCAGCAGCATACAAGCATTATATCTTTAAATGTGGGGTTTTTATGGTAAATAGCTTACTTTTGCAAGGGAGTAGAAAGTAGAGAGTCACAGCTGCTGATTTTGCCTTTTATTAAAAAATTGGTTGGGGCATGGAACACAATTTTTTACCTGAAGGGCAGGAATCAGAACAAACCACTCTTCAAAAGTTCAAATTCAAGAGGGAGTTAGATGTTGAATATTTGTATTGATTAACACTTTAAGGCCAAGGTGTTCATTATTTTTAAAAATCAATTTTTTGCAGCATATAGGGCAAAAAAATTTATGAAAGAAACCTCATGTCCTTCATCATGTGTAACTCAGAGAATTTTAACTTTTTTTGGCTCTATGATAAAGCTTAATTGATAAACAAGTTCATTTCTTCTTCAGTTACCAGAGAAAAACTCTCACATCTTGAATCACCTTTTATACAAATATTTTTTTGCATGCACTGTTCAAAATTTTTTTAGAATATTGCATGATATTCCCAATTTTCAGGTAGGGTATTTAAAGTCATATGACATTTTTGGACCAATCATATGAAAGCAAAAATGTTTTGATGTATTTTTATCTTTGATGTTTCAGAACAAGTAGATCTCATCAGACAGGTGATGTCAGGAATTAGTCTTCCCTCATCAGCTGTACCGGAGTGGGCCAAGGTTGTACCAGAAGAAAAATGGAAAGCATCTTTAGTTTCAAGTATAAAAAATAGAACTTTTTCAGAGCCAGACAGTGGAAAAAGCAATTAGATTATAATTTAACTGGTATTTTACTTAATTATTAGACTTCTCCATAAGTTTTACCCTGTGGTCCCTAAAAGTGACTAGCATGTAATTCGTCTGACACAATATTACCCTGGATCAAATAGTAAGATCACAAGAGTAAAGGATATGAACATCAACCAGAGAAGCTGTTGATTACTAAACAAATTCTCTCTGTCAGCATCTTAGGAAATAACTAGAGAACAGTATAGAGAATACGATTACTGATGTTAGGGTTAAAGAGTTAATACATTTTGTATGATGAGTATTTTGGAAAAAGGGTTTTGTTGTTTAAGTAATAATTTAATTGGGCACCCAAGATCAGTCACAGTACAGACTAATTGATGAGGAATTGGAGTTTATCTCAGCTTGCTACACAACAATTCACCATTTCAGTCAATGAAAAATGTCATAACCATAAATGTGCTCTTCAGGATAGGCTGTATTGTGATTGTTCAGAAATAGTGGGTGGTTGAAGTTGAAGTAGCTGTGCATTGCAAATCATTGTTGTAAAATAATTGTTTTATATTTCAATATTATGAGACAAGGAGACCTCTTTTCTGGAAAAAAAAACAATTTGAGGCCTGGGTGGTCCTGTCCAGAAAAAAAAGTTTGACCATATGTACAGACTTTGGTGCCATCTGCAACTGAACCTAGTCAACATTGTTTATAGAGTCATTTACTGTGTAAGACTACCACACATGTTTCAATGAGATTAAGAAAAACTTTAACCTTTATTTGAAAATGATTTGTTGTTAAGTCATTCATGGGGCAGGTAGAGTGGCATGATAATGTGGTGAATTTTTAAATCTGATTTATTGAAATCCCTGATTGCTAAGCAGCCAGGGAACGTACCCAGCTTCCAGCCCTTTTATACAACCCTGAACTATATGGAGTTATTAATGTGCACCTGCAAGTCACATTATTTTCTCTCAACAAGACTAAGAGGAAAATTCAAAATTTGCTGATGAGAAAATCTCATTGCTACAAATGAATGAGTCTTCAGGATGCACCATTTTATATCTTAGGGGTAGAGTCCTTCAGTACAAGTCACAGTTATCTTAATGTTTTTTATTTCTCTGATACAGAAATGTATCTGCAAGATGTCTTCTTAAAATTACCCTAACCCACCCCCACTCCAAATACCTTTTCAAATTATTTTTCATGTTGGATACATGTAAGAAAGAGAAAGATGTTTTTCATTTATCACAAGTGTGGGACAAAGAAACATCAGAGTTCCTATGAAGAATCAAACCTTGCACCTTGGGATTCCTCACCCAGATGCTTTACCACTGAGTCACAGAGACTCTATGGTGAGAGAGGCCCATTACAAACTTCATGTATGACATGCATCTTCCATACTGCTAGGATCAGTGATGTCGATTTTGCCATGTTTGTTAACAATAGGAATGTTGGTAAGTTTTGAGCTTGGTAAAGAAGTAGAGGAAAACGTTTTTGGTCTTGTCACAAGTGTTTGGGACAAAGGGAAAAGAAAAATTCTATTTCCCCATGAGGATTTGAACTTCAGACCTTTGAGCTCTGCAGTTTGGATGCTCTATCACTGAGCCATAGAGACTCTGGTGAGCAAGGCCCATAATGAAGTTCATGTATGTAATCAGAATTTTTCTTTGTCCCATGCTTGTGACAAGACAAAAAAAAGCATCTTTTTCCATGTCATCACCAAGCTCAAACTTACCATTTTTCTTATTCTATCTCAAAACATGCAAGAAAAATTCTCAACTTTGTTCTGGGTGAACTTTAGAACCCACAGCTTAAGTAAATATGCAATTTGAGATAGAGTAGTAACAGTAAATTGTAAATTTAAGCAAAAAGGTATTCTACTCACCCTTACTTTGATAGGGTTTTAAAAAGCAAATTCTACCAACCTAAATATAGTGATATTCACCAAAAATTAAACAACTCAGTTCACTGATACTCACAATCAATATCTTCTCAAATTATTGTCTAGGTTAACTAAGATAGATAATATTGATATTTTGAATTTTCCATTCTTTGGACAAAAATAGTTTTAAAAAACTCAGAATAGAAATTTGAGTGATGATGAAACAAGTCAAATATGGGGAAGAAAATTATCCTCCCACATGTTTCATGTAAATTGGGTAGAAAATTATGCTTCCCACATGTTTCATGTAAATTAGATTGAAAATTATGCTTCCTACGTGTTTCATGTAGCTTATTCAAGCTTTGGACAGCAGCACTGCTATTGGTTGTTGCATTTCTTGTGGTTACACCAAAATGCTGATAAGAAATAACCAGGTGGAAACAGCTGTCCAGCTGCCAGGCTGTGGCACACTGGCAATCAATCAACTTGGACTCTAAAGAATATTATTTGTTGCTCCATTAAGTTTTCTACCTAAAATGGAGAGACCCTGCTGAAGGGCAGTTGGGTAGGAGTACTGTGGGCCTCAAGCTCACCACAATTTTTTAAAAACTAATTCTGTTCATTTTGCTACCCAGTTAAAGTGGGCCAAGTTGTTCAAAGGTGGGTTAAGTTAACCCACTGTTGGTGTAAAAATTTTATTTTAGATCTGACAGCTTTAAAAGAAAATTCAGCATGGATGCTCTTAAAAGAAGGGAGGTAAAATAACAGACAAAGGCTTTAAACAAAAAAATAAAGAAATCTGGATTAAAATTTAACTGTGTTGGCACTACAGGTGTAATTGGCCTTCGAACAACTGGGCCTCAGAGAGTAATATAAATAAGAGTTGACATAAGTAGACTGATAGTGTTGCTCATAACTAGACTTAACCAAAGTTGTCTTTTATTTTCCTGAAATTTGATTAGTTACTTTAATCAAATTAATAGGGCTTGCAATCTGATAGGTTGTTAAGTCTCAGTAAATCTTTCAGGTTGGCTGGGAGAAGAGAGCATTAAATGGTGCGATTCATGATTAAATTACACAGATGAGAGACAATCAGTTTGCAAGGATGCAACCACCAGTGATTTCAAAATGGATAAAACAAATTTTTACTTTTGACCGGCCATATCTTTAACAGATAATTCATAAAAATGAGATACCTATAATGTACTATGCCCCAAAATCCTGTCTAAGAGTGCCCTCGCTTTACATCGATTTTAATGTACAGCGGAATTACCCTTGAAAACTGTCATGTTTACGATGGAAGCGATCGGCTGTTTTTGTTGACAGCACCAACTTCTTCCCTGTTGTACAGCAGCTGTTGCCACAACCTGATTCGCCAAACTTCGCCTACGGAAGTTTTCGTTTCTTTGCCTTCTCAAAGTAAGGAAGACACTGCTACGCACTCTGAAAATAAGAGGTTTTCGTTCAAGTTTCCTGGCTGATATCAAAATGGGTAACAAGCTGACGAAGTCACGAAAGAAGATCGATAAACCGACACCTGCCGTATATCCTAATCAACCGGTGCGGCCGTTGAGGAGATCAGTCGAGGGAAATACAAGCGTTGTATACTCTAATTTTCCCCGAATCGTTGCTGAGTTGCATCATTATCGGGGTTCTGTAAGAAACCTAGAAGACGAAGATGAAGAAGATGAACAACCTAGAAGGTTTCACGAAGAGGTTCACTGTTGTGTTTTTTCGCCAGACGACGAAGCTCTGCTTTTGACGTCAACTACACCGATTCCTTGTGGACCGTTTACCCCTGATATCGGATGTGGCCATTTAAGAGAATTTGACATCAACTCAGGGTCCTGCAAAAGGGAACTCCTCACTTACCACTCGCAAGAGTGTGACATCTCATCCGACGGCAATCTTGTATCTTTCATTACTAATTCTGGACAAGGAGAAGTCGCGCTTGTCAAACGAAACCGAAGTTCTTATGCTGAAATTGCAGAGCGAGTGGATAAATTTCAACCTTGTTGCAATGGAATGACTGGTCAAACACTTTGCTGTAAGTTTTCACCAGATGCTCGTCACATTGTTAGCGCTGCTTCTCTTGATTTTCACAGTATGAGGGAGACCAACGAGTTGCGATTGTGGAACGTGAAGTCCATGCAGATCGAGGCGAGAGTTGTTTTACGCGATATAACAGACTTCTGTGGCTTCGTTACCCGTTGTGAATTTTCTCCGGATGGTCAGTACCTCGCTGTCTCGACTTCCAAAGAACAACTGTGTATCTTACGCAGCAAAAATCTGGATGTCGTGACCGTTTTAAGGAGAAGATGCCGAGGAAATGTGTGCTGGAGTATTTTTAATCCTGCGTGGAGATTCGAGGTGCTTGCGTGTTGTATGCAGGACGGTCGCGTGGAAATCTGGAACAAGGTTGAAGTTCATTCAAGTGCCCATGCTGGAGAACTGCGCTATGCGCGGGAGAAAGAACGTAAAGTATCATTTTCCCGACTGTTGCACTGCTGTCAGTATTCTCCTGACGGGAAGATGATTGCTGTTGGAACGTCAGATGCCAATATTATTATGCTTGGGGCTGAAACTCTGGATTCACTGTTTTTATTAGAATGCATAAAAGAACCTAGCCCTTTTGGTCTCAGGATTCAAAATACCATTGTTTACTCCATTGCTTTTTCTAAATCCCAACAGTATGTAGCAGCTGGTTACAGTGATAGTATGGTTCGAGTTTGGGCCATGCCCATGAGATTTGACTTGCAACATTTGTGCAGAGTGGTGATCTTGCACAGTGTGCCAGGAAATAAAATCAATTCACTTCCAGTACCCAATGGTATCAAAAATTACCTCTTAAACAATTACAAATGAATGATAGTCAACTAAACAGGTTAAGGACTGAAATTACTCTATAATTAGTGTTACGACTAGAGAATTCAGGCTACAATGTGATATTCAAATAGAATCATTTTAGTTGATTTGAAGAAAGACGAACAGTCACCTTAGATGCAATCTACAGAATGGAATGGTGCATGGATTTAACAGGTAACTTGCATATTATGCATCAACCAATTTGAAGCTTCAACTTCCCTCCCTCCCCCCCCATCAGGCAACCCTTTGGGCATTTGAACTTTTGAGGATATGGATTGTGTAAAAATTATATTCTGTAACACATTGACTGAGCTTTAAAACCAAGATCTTTTTTTCTAAGCCATTTCAATGTGAAAGTGAACTATCACCTACCAGTTACCTTTAAACACCTCAGACTCCATTCCACTCCATTTCCATTCCACTGAAAACACTTGACCCTTCTGGTTCAAATTCCCCATCCAGATATGGACAATGGTCAAATGGTCATGGGTTGTTTGGGGTATGCTGAAGCTTTGAATTGATTGGCACATCACATGCACTGACATGTAACTGTATTGTTGGCAAAAACCTAATGAATTAAATCATTCCAGGTAGCTAAAGTTATTTGGAGCAATATTAAAATATTTTTAAGTTATCACACAGTGTTGCATTTTGTCAATCATTATTTTTGAAATCATTTCTCATCTGGTGATTTAACATGGTATATTTCAAGATAATGCCTCTGGCTAGGAAGAAATTAGGGACACAGTCTGTGAAAAAAAACATTATATGATTACGGATATTTTTCATTCTCCATAGCAATTATTGGATGAGGTTGGGCATGACATCATGAATTATCAATGTCAAGGTCTCAGTTATCTGCCAAAGCCAAAGGCAGATAACACAGACATGAGGTTTGATAGTTCATGATATTATATACATACCAAATTCATTAATTATTATTGTATGATATTTTTTAAACAATCTGCTAAAAAAGATAATTCCCTCTGAGTTTGCAGAAGTTTGAGAACACTGGGCAGACAAGGGGCTTGGAAACTAGGCAGACTTTGAACTTGACCCAACATCCCAATGTAACCCAGTGCCGCAGATTTTGGGTTACCATGTAAACTTCACACGCTATTTTAAATTGACTGTATGCTCACAACCAATCAGAGTTTTCATAGTAAGTCTAATCTAAGTGGGCATTCTACCAAAAATAAGCAATTATTGGACGAGTTTGAGCATGACATTAAACACTTGCTGTATGGTTCTGAGGGAAACAGTTAGTTTTGTTTTCCCAAGAGTCCTGACATTTCCAGAGACAAACTTAAGGGAAATATCAGGACTTGAGGGAAAACAAAACTAACAAGTTTCCCAAGGGACCATACAGTTAGTGCTTTGTTGTATATTTAGACTTTCCCTTAAACAATCATATGGTAAAAACATGCTGTTGTATTCAGCTCACATGCAACCACTGTGCAATTGTATCACTGTTGGGATACATTTGAATTTGATCAAGGGGCACATGATCAAGAATCAACCAATCACAGTGCTTGTTTTGTTGAGTGAAAGTTTACTGAGTTGGTATATAACAACATGAATTATCAATGCCAAGGTACGAGGTTATCAGTCAAAGTGGAATACTGAGATAGAGAACACAGACATGAGGATCAAACTACAGTGAACTCTACATGGATAACTTTCCATTGGTTTAGATGTTGTGGGGTATATCTAGCTCATCTGTAGAAATATTTTTGACACAAAGTAATCAAACATAAATACATACAGTCTGATTATTTAGTACACCTTGTGCATCAACAAACTGACCAGAAAAATTTACAAGAATTGGTACATATCAAATGAAACAAAATTGACATGCTTTATTATATGGATGAGAATGTTTTTAGCTGGCTTAAGAGTCTTTAGTGAGTTTAAGTAAGTCTTAAAAGGATGATTATTGTAGGGCCTCCAGGAGTCACTTCTAAATAAGAATTATCTTATGTTTTGTGGTTTAATTAAGTAGTTGAGTTTGTAGCAGTATAGTATTCTTTCTCTCAGTTTAAATACACCGTAACAACAATCTGAGATTCTCTCAAAAAATGCAACAAGACAAGAGACAAGAGAAATAGAGGATGATACACTCATGAAAATACATAAATAGAGTATATTAAATGTTAGCTTGTAGATATAAAGTTTATGTTCTTGAGGCAAGAACAATATCTCACTTGTTTGTTGCTCTCACTTGCAAGACATTGTTCTAGTCACTCCAACATAAAATTAATATCTTCTGACCATGGTGTAATATCCTCTATATATCTCCAAATTTTCTAGATGGATTTACAAGAAATATGATGTATAGGAAAAAATAAGTTTAACTGCATGAAGATTAAACAAAATACAAATTTCATGTAACAATGTTTAAGGAATTGTTTTATTTACATTGAAACAGTGTGAAGGAAGAGCATTTTTATTACAGATGATATTTACAAGTTGTGGTCATCGTTCACCAGCCTTGTAAATGATTTCACATATTCCTGTATTTCTTCTCAGACACTTCTCTGATAACAATTTTCCTGATTTGTTCAGGTGTTAAGAATTCTTTAGGCTTAAACACAGGTTCTGTCATACCTGAAAAATGGATTTGATCCTTGGATCAATAGCAATAATCATCAAAATAATTATGACAATAATTATGATAAGAATGAGAGCACAAAAACAGTACATCAAAAACAAAACTATGCACCAGATATAAGATTTTCTCTTATACTCAGGATTTGTGTTTATTCATGTACACCTCTGAGTTCAGCTGGAATCTTAGGAGATTCATATACAACACCCAAATAACAGTCAGTCTGAGACACAGACACCAATTTACACCCTATTCAAGACTTTCAAGCTGGCCCTCATTTTTAACACATTATCATTGGGCTTGAGCAATGTGAGCCAATGAGAGGTCTTTAAAGGGTCTTACATGGTGCCACACCCCTGCAAACCTCTCCCCAAATTCACAACTTCCAGTGATAAGAATGAGAACCTGCTTACAGGCTACCCACTCATGGCTCTACAAGTGGCATACATGAAGATGACTGGCTTTTTAAGCAGGCAAGAGGAGCCACTCAAGTCATACATTATACATATTGGGATTGCTATCTTTGTTCATTTGGATGACAGGTATCTTTGCTCAAAACAAAAAAGCACAAAAACAAACAAACAAACAGCAGGGTTTGTTACCACTTATTTAATTGGATCCTTGATTGATTTTTGAGTGATGATGGTTTGAAAGCGACCTTGTTTTGGGGTTTTTATAGAACTACACAAAGTCAAGGTATGCATAAACTAGGCTTCCACTTAGCTCTGCTATCTTGACACTCTATAATGCATAGACATGTTAAACACCCTTACAGATAGAGACTACATGGGCACACTAGCATAATAATAATTATCACTCTCAAATGTAAAAGGTCTGCTGACTGCTAAGACATTCAAAGTTTTTATTTAAAAGACTGGTTACAGTAAATAAAAAATAGCCTCTTTCCTGTGCCAAAATATGCATGGATATTTGTCCACAGACATTATCTGTTACACATTGTGAACAGTTCCTCTAGAGGCTCAAGAAAAACTGTGAGCTTGGAGGAACAGATAATGTCCAAGGATAAATATACAAGAATATTTTTGCACAAAATTGAGGCTATTGTGTTTATTGTCCTTCAAATGTATTGCAATGCATATGAAAAAATGTTAACAAAAAGCTTCCCATGCTGCGTGAGATGTTTTCTTTTTAATGTTCTCTGGTACAACCTTATGAACAATTAAATATTCCCTTCCTCTGTAACAACCACAAAATGCTCCCTGCTCTCCCATCTCAACCCTTTAACTCCCATGACTGACCAAGAAAGAATTTCTCCATTTCTCCTTACAATATCAATACAATATCAAGCAGACAAGTTATGAGAATAAAGAAAAATATCAATAAGGAGATTATAAGTTGATCCAATAACAAATCTCTAAACTAACACCACAAGAACTTTATGGCAGACAGTAAGGAAAGTTACTATTGAGATCTTGGGAGTTAAAGGGTTAAAAAAATTGTAAATGAAGATTTGTCATAGTGGATGTAAGGTTTGAAAATTGGGGAATATCACTTGGGTGATATCCCCGAATATCACCCGGTTTTAGAGAAGAATGTTCTGTCAAATCATGCCTTTAGACAAATCATGCACAAGCTAAAATATTTGATGGCTGATAAGAGTTGATATCCTTTTAGGTCAACTTGACTCAAGTCTGTCAACATGCACACCTTGTATACTGAGTAAATTCTACATTCAATAAATACTACAAAGACACCATACCTAACTTTTCCATATATGTTTGAGTAACACTCTCATCCCAGGTAGCTTGGAAGAAACACAGTCCAGCTGGAGTCAAGTTGTTCTTATGATCAGATATAAACTTTGCTGTAGAAAATGTGCGACAGGATATATCTCTGTTGAAAATTGAAAATCATACTTTTAGAATATACAACACTCAATGACATTTGAAAATAGTGTATCACACTTGTTCATTGACTCTGATATACAAATGAATTAGAGAAAAAGCTGCAGATTTTGCATTCTGATCTTGTGTTGGAAACTTTTCCAAATTTTTAAATCCATACTGAAAAGTTGGATCACAGAAAGTGTTGATGGAAAAGATTACAAAGTATTTAACAAATTAATGACAGAGTAATCAGTCCCAAGAGCAAGAGCCCTGGAAAAGGGGTTTACGTAAAGGGCTGGTTTTCCACCCATGTCAATCTTTGTAGAGTGAACCATACACTGTTAATTCTCTACACCGCAACATCGGTATAGGTATTCTCCATACTGTTCTCTGTACATTTCCTAAGGTGCTGACTAGGAGAATTTGTTTACCAATCAAGAGCTTCTTTGCTTATTGATCATTTCCTTTTTTCTCACCACTTTGATGTGTGATTCAGGGGTGATAGTGTGATGAGAAATTACAGATATCGATGTTAGTCACTCTTAGGGGTCAGAGGGTTAAACCTTATACCACTCTTAAGCCTTACAGTCAAGGATTAAGAGTGGTACCTCTGCTAACCTTTTCAGAAGGCATCCACAACTTTAAAGAAACGATCACTGCCTATTCAAATCTATCTTTTCAATTGGTCTAGATGCACATGTACAAGTAAATTTTATTGACCAAAAAAAAAAATCAATGATGCATTCTAACTATCAAAGGTCAAAAGTTACAATGGGGCTTCTGAAACATGACTCCCAAGGAGAAGCTTCATGTCACCATTTCCTGTTATTTTTTTTCAACAACCTCACTAAACTGGGTTAGTCATACCTTCCATCTATACAGACATGACTTCTTAAATCCAATTTGCCAGTTTGTTTGAGCAGAGAGAAAACAAATCTATGAAAGCCTGTCCCATGGGCTGGCACTGGTGGAAGATAATCACAAAGAACATCACCATCGTTTATTCTTGAGCCAGGAATATTTCCTCTGAAAACAAAACAAAATGCATCAGGTGACACTGCAATAAAAGAATGATGAAAATGTTATGCCATATTTAGTTTTCTACTACATTTTTCAACATTTTGCATCACTGATGAAGCAAATACATTTTGTTCTTTAAAAAGAATGCTTTCCCTACTAACACTTTGACTCCCATGAGCAACTAACACAGAATTTGTCCTTACAATGAATATTAACCCTTTAACTCCCGGATCAAATTTGTCATTCTCCTTACTATTAAACATACAATTCTCATAATGTTAGTTCAGAGAATTTAGTATTGGATCAGCTAATTATCCCCAAATTGATATTTTCCTTTATTCTCATCACTTATTTGGTTGATATTGTATTGATGCATTAAGGAGAAATTCTGTCTTGGTCACTCATGAGAGTTAAAGGGTTAATAAAAAATCAAGCAGACAAGTGATGAGATGAGAACAAAGAAAAATATCAATTAGGAGATTATCAGTTGATCCAATACCAAATTCTTTAAACTAAAATCAGAGAGTAAGGAAAATCAATAAATAAAGTAGGTAGTGGAAGTAAGGTTAGGTAACTGCAGTAAGACATCTGTGTATTAATTTTACTTGGATTTCAAAACAATCTTTGCTGTATACCTTATGAAAACACTAGCTAAGGGTAGGGGAGAATTTCCTTTCACACATTAATGATCAATCTGAACTAGAAAAGGAATTCACAGAAAATGGTCAACAAAATGATAATAAATAACAAATTATTGATTAATCAATAAAAAGACAAATGAATAGATAAAAAACTTACACCATCCAATGTAAAAATTCTGTGTCTCTCTCTATCAAGTTACCATCTATAAAATTAATTATGGCAAAAACTTTAATATGTAATAACTAAATTAATATTATACATGAAAAAATCATGCACATCTGATTGGCTGAAAACAAGTGCATTTTGCATGTAACACGAGTGAAAAGTTGTAACATGAGTGCAAATTACAAATAGCATGCATTGCCAAATTTTGTCCCTCTTGACTATTTGTGATGCATTTTTCATGTAAATTATTAACAAGTAACAACATGATTTCACTTACAATGCCATGTAAATTAGCACTTGTAAATTTTTCAGACTGCAAATAGCACTCGCTCTACAGGCTCATGCAATTTTGTTGTCTTAGAAAAATTTACCAAATTGCACTCAAAATCATGTTGTTACCTATACAAAATTTTTTACCAGAATTTGCATTTTATCATGTCTACTGCCAATTCGCACAAATTTGAAAGTTACAAATGAACCCTTAACATCCTAATATCAGTATGGATATTCTCCATACTGTTCCCTATACAGTGTACATTTCCTAAGGTGCTAACAAGGAGAATTTGTTTAACAATCAAGAGCTTCTTTTTCAATGATCATTTCCTTTATTCTCATGACCTAAATGTTTGATTCAGGGGTGATACTGTAAAGAGAAATACGATGCTGGTCATTCTTAGGGCTCAAAGGGTTAGAGCAGATCAGAAATGAAAAAGAAAAAAATTTAAAATAAAAAGCATTTTTCCAGTTACATTTTAAAAGAATGTCTGACTTTAGTTCTATGTAACATGGAGAAAAGAATTTATTTTACAACTCAGTACAAATAGGAGTTCATATTTCTGAAAGGCCTTGGGTGTTTAGGAAATTCAATATGGTTTTCAAAACCCTTTCTCTCAGGTGTGGTAACTCTAAGCACAGGGGCTTATACTCCAACACTTAATATGTCTTTTACCTGGATTGGTGAATATCACTGTCCAGAGGCTGTCGTCTTCACAGGTGTAACTGACAGTTGGTTGAATAGTAGCCTACAGAGATTACCAGTAATTCAAAATCAATCCATGAAGAATAGATCAATATAAAGTACTGTTTACAAGAATGATACAAATACATTGACCATATAAACACCCTTTATTTTCAAGTATCAGACACAAACTCACTGTTGCATCAATTGGTCCATTGGACTGATCCTTTTACAATGTGCGTTGTAAAGGCATACGGGCAAATATTTGAACAGAAGTTATCACATAATTGAATAACTTGTTTTAAAATTGATTTACTATTCCTGTGAGGCATACAACTCTGCACTGCTCAACACATAACAGAAGAAAAAAAATTAACTTGAAAGCAACTTCATCATCAGCTTTCTTGACCCACAGCACCATGATCTTTGAGATTATTTCACTGGTTCCAGAATCCATCAGTTGACATAATCATATCTGGGAACTCTAATACACTTCACTTACAGTAGCAATACATTTGCTAAGACATTTAATTTGATGTACCTGAGATGGTGTCAAAAAATTTCCATGAATCACATGATCTGTTTCTCCAAATGTTACTGACATCCTAGTTGTTGCTGTGAACTCTTCTCCATTGAAAATATGCTTAAAAATGCCATAATGCCTGGCTAGCTTTGTTGTTGTAGAAAATTCATTCTTTGATTTCCACTCCTTTTGAACAGCTTCCAGTGGAACAAGTACTGTTCAAAGTAAAGTCATGGATTAAAAATAAGCTTCATCATATAAACCAAGCAATTACATGTAGGTGAAATATCCAAGAGGAGGCTTCCATGTGAAAATTAAGGAAATTATCGGCATAAGAATGAAATAAATAATTGACTAAATTGCGGCAACTGCTTTGTCCACAACTCTTCACATATACTAATATTCAAGTATCATAAACACTTATTTCCAGCCTTACATAATTATACAAAAACTTTGTGGCATGACTTACAAGATCCTTCTCTGGCTGCTCTTTCCATTGCAGGATCATGCCTATTTTTCTTGCATATAACAGATTGCATCCTCCTGACTTGTTTCCTTTTTTTAGGCTGATCAACAATATCCTGGGCTCCAAAAGCTGAGATGAAATCAAAGGAAATACAGATATGTCTCTAAACATGTTTTTAATTTTAACGTTTCATACTTTACATAAGTGA